GGCCTCCCAAAGTGCTGGGATTACAGGTGTGAGCCACCGTGCCCAGTCAAACATTTTAATTGTAGCAAAACAGTAGGCTGGAGGCAGTGGCTTCTGACTGAAGCCAGTAATTTTCTCTTTACAGGGGTATCCCAGAGGTGACAGAACTTGATCTGGGCCTGGAAGGGGAAGAATCCGGGAAGGGCAACGTGGGGCATTCCAGGTAAGAGAAATGTGTGCCGGGTGGGGGGAGGTTTCTGGAGTGGCTCAGGACAAAGGAGAGGTCATTATCAGTTCATTTGGTGAGACGGTGGAAGAGTAAGAAATGAAATAGGATGAAATAGGTAAATGATTTAGGGCCAGATTCTGGAGGGGAGTTTAGACTTCATGACATTGGTTTACCTGTGTGAGCTGAATGTTGCTATGAATCATTATCCCTGTGAAAAGTGATGAAAATGGTTTTAAGGGTGATTGGTCTGCCTGGCAGAGTTACGCTGTTTGGATGGGAGATCCTGTGGGGAGGACAGAAAGGAGGAACTGGGGAAAAAAAAAAAAGCACAACATATCACTGTGTGTTTTCTTACTCCTTACAAGAGGATTTGGGGAAATTTAAATATGAGTTACTTTTGCTGAAGCGTAGAAAGACAAAGTGAATGAAGCAGGAGAAAAAAAGAAAATCCAGTCACTTATACTTAATTTCTTAAGGTGTTATTCATCCAGAAAGTGAACTTATATAATAATATTTTTGTAAATGCTTCTTGATCACATACTTTATAATAAATACTTTAACAGTGGGAGAAATAGTACAAATGCATTCCAAGAGGCTAGAAAAGGGATTATATTAACAAAATACTGTCAAATACCAGGATATTACCAAATCGTAGAACTAGAGTATTGGCAGACAACACAAAATACTGATGAATCTAATCTCAGGGTAGAGGGAGAAGTTGGAGTTGGGGAATAGGAATTGACCAGTGATGAGAAAAAAAGAAAAGAAAAGAAAAAAGGGAGGGAGGAAGGAAGGAAAGAAGGAAAG